GCTTTGTCTTCTCTTCTCTTCTTCCCTTATTCTTATGCCCTCTTTTTTAAACTATTTATTCATCACCATTTATTGCTTTCTCTCTCTTCTCTTCTTCCCTTTCCTTATGCCCTCTTTTTATGCTATTTATTCATCACCATTTATTGTTTTCTCTTCTCCTCTTCCCTTTCCTTATGCCTTCTTTTTTATACTATTTATTCATCACCATTTATTGCTTTCTCTCTCTTCTCTTCTTCCCTTTCCTTATGCCTTCTTTTTATGCTATTTATTCATCGCCATTTATTGCTTTCTCTCTCTTCTCTTCTTCCCTTTCCTTATGCCCTCTTTTTATGCTATTTATTCATCACCATTTATTGCTTTCTCTCTCTTCTCTTCTTCCCTTATTCTTATCTCCTCTTTTTATGCTATTTATTCATCACCATTTATTGCTTTCTCTCTCTTCTCTTCTTCCCTTATCCTTATCTCCTCTTCCACCATTTTCTTCCAAAAATAACCTTTCCCACATTTACAAGAGGCAATTAGGCTTAATGTCTGTCTGTTCGGCAACGCACACGATTTACGAGTAGATGTCATAATTGATGCATTGTTGCAAGGACGTAAGGTCGAAGTACTTTGCAATGGAGTCGGTGGGTGGGTGGGTGGGTGGGGGGGGGAGGGGGGAGAAAAAGGCTAAGATATGCGAATTTATATCATTTGCTGAGAGAAATATATCTCGTTATTGTCATCTACTCCCCCACCCCTCCCCCCACCCCCCTCCATACCCTACCCCACACCCCCACCTCATTCCCCATTCCCCCCTCCCCTTCCCTCCCCAACCCCTTCCCCACCCACCCCCCTCCACCCCCCAACCCCTCCCCCACCCACTCCCCTTCCTCACTCACCCATCACCTCATTCCCCATTCCCTCTCCCTTTCCCTCCCCAACCCCTTCCCCACCCACCCCTCCTCTCCACTCCCCACTCCCCTTTCCCCCAACCCAACCCCTTCCCCCCCAACTCCAACCCCTTCCCCACCCACCCCCCTCTCCACTCCCCCCAGCCATCTCAAAACTTCGGATAACGACTATTCGGACAATATCCACTTGCGGTCGGAATACTCCACCGACGTGACGTAAGCAATGACGTCAGCAGCGGGTCGTAAAGAGGTGCCCAGCGGAAGCACGAAAGACCGAAAGACCGACAGACCGACCGACGGACACGCATCGGCCGCGTCACCTGGTCGGGGGCGGTCTTTGGCGTGCGCGCGCGTGACACCCGGCGGACGGGACCTCTTGGAGTTTTCTTTTTTGTTCATCATCTTCTTCTTTTCCTTCTCCTCCTCTTTCTCCTCTTCTTCCTCCTCCTCCTTCACTTTGTCCTTCTTCTTCTCCTTCTCCTCCCCCTTCTCCTCCTCCTTCTCCTCCTTCTCTTCGTCCTTCTTCTTCTCCTTCTCCTCATCCTCATCCTCATCCTCCTCTTCCTTCTCCTCTTTCTCCTCCTCCTCCTCCTCCTCCTCCTCCTCTTCTTCTTCTTCTTCTTCTTCTCCTCCTCCTCCTCCTCCTCCTCCTCCTCCTCCTCCTCCTCCTCCTCCTCCTCCTCCTCCTCCTCCTCCTCCTTCATCTTCATTCTCTTCTTCTTCCAACCCTCTTCTACCTCTTCACCCCATTTCCTTCTTCATCATCCTTCTTCCTTCTTCTTCTCCCTTCCTTTTCGCCTCTCTTCCTTCTTCTTCCGCCGATGGGCTTTGTGGGGTCTTCGGGCGCTCTCTCCCTTCGTTCTCTTCGTCGTTTCCGTCTATTTCCTTTTCTTCTGTTTCTTCGTCCTTTTTCATCTCATTCTTCTTCGTCTTTTCTTCTGATACTGATTCGTTTTTTCTTCTTCTTCTTCTTCTTCTTCTTCTTCTTGTTCTTCTTCGTCTTTTCTTCTGATTCTGATTTTCTTTTCTTGTTCTTGTTCTTCGTCTTTTCTTCTGAATCTGATGTTCTTTTCTTCTTCGTCTTTTTTTTCTTCTTGTCTTTTCTTCTGATTCTGATTTTCTTTACTTCTTCGTCTTTTCTTCTTCAAATTCTTCTTCTTCATCTTTTCCTTCTTTGTCTTTTTATTCTTTCTATCTATCTATCTATCTATCTATCTATCTATCTCTTTCTCCATCTCCATTTTCCTTCTCGTATATACATATAAAAAAACACAAACTTCTGTGTTTTTTTTTTTTAAGAAAATGGAAGATCGTCAAAATTCACTCGAAAATGGCGGCCGGAGTAAATAACATTTTGGCTTAAGAAAAAAGATAATTTTGATTTATGTTTTTTTACATTTACATGTTTATTGCTCGAAAATCCGTGTTGAATACTTGGCTAAATTGGTCTATTTTCCACCTGTTCCCATGCATATACATGTACATAAACATATCCATATTATGTGTATATGTATGTATGTATTTATGTCTTCGTGCATGTATGTATGCATTCTTGCATGTGTGTATTCATGTATGTATGTATGTATGTATATATGTATATATGTATATATGCATTCATGTATGTATGTATTCATGTATGTATGCATGTATGTATAATATGTATGCATATATGTACGTACGAGTGATATGCTATATAGGAATAGACAGATAGATAAGTAGATAGATATATATTCATATATTCATGAACAACCAAATTGTTAAAGTTGACATCTTTTAATATTAAATGCCCATTCGTGTCTCGAAATTTTCTTAGGGAAAAAAGACAAAATAATTTTGAAATTATAGTTGCCATTGGAGTGAAATTTGACAACGAAATATGAGAGAAAGAAGAAAAATAGGAAAATGAGAAAGAACAAGATAAATATGGGGTTAACATGAAAGGGAGAATATTTTTTAAAGAAAATTATGAAAAATGACAAGATAAATATAGTTTTAATATGAAAGGATTTTTTTTTAAAGAAGATAAATGTAAGAATATATGATAAGAATAGATACTCACAACGAAACGAAGAAGGAAGAGAGAAAATAAGACGATGAATTACCTAAAGAATAACAGAAACGAAATACATAACGAAGAGGAAGATAAATGGAACAAAAAGAAAAAAAAGAAGAAAAAAAAACATAGACGTACATCATAATAACAGAAAGCAAACATGTCACGAAGAATTCTTATATATATATATTTTTTAACAAGTCAGCTATAGAGAGATATAATAAAACAGGCTAAAAAAAAAATAAAAAAAAAACAAAAAAACGAATTATCCTCCTTCTGCTGCTTCGGTTTAAAACGAGTCAGAATCCGGATAATAATAACCCAAGTGTTACTATTTGATTGACATTCACTCTAATTAAAGGATGGGAGGAGAATTATGGGAGTGGGGGGGTGGGGGGTGAGGGAGGGGAGAGGGGGGGAGGGTTGAGAGGGGTCATGACATAGAAGGAGATGGAGGGAGAGGGAGGGAGGGAGGGAGGGAGAGAAGGAGAGGAAGGGAGAAAGAGATAAAGAGAGAGAGAGAGAGAGGAAGACAAACAGAGACAAAGAAAAAAAAAGATAATAAATCAAAATAGAGACAAAACAGACTGACAAAAGAGACGCAGGATGACAACAGCTCCCCTCCCCCCCACCCCACCACCCCTTCCTCCCCCCCCCAACGCCCCCACCCCTTAAGCAACGCCCCCGGGTCCCCATGCACCTGACGAGCCGTGGGGATGCAGAAGCCACTTTTTACTGAGGAATCCAAGGTAGTTATGAACCCTGGGGGGAAGAAGGGGGGGGGGAGAATAGTACTGAGGGGGAGGTGAGGAAAAAGGGAGGATGGGTAGGGGGCAAAGCAGGGGAGGGGGGAGGGAGGGGGCAAAGGCAGGGGGAGGGGGGAGGGGGAGGGGGCAAAGGCAGGGGGGGAGGGAAGGGGGGAAAGGTAGGGGGCAAGGCAAGGGGAAGGAAGGGGGGGAAGGGTAAGGACCAAAGGGAGGGGAAGGGAGGGGTAGAGGGCATAGCCAGGGGGAAAAGGGGGAGGGGGAGGGGGAGGGGGCGCAGGGGATGGCAGAGGTAAGGGGCACAGGTAAAGGGGTAATTTACTCGTTTTTTTAACTTGGGAAGGAGAGTGAGAGGGAAAGGTAAGGGTGGAAGCCATAGTCATCTTTCAGGCAATTTTCAACTCACAAACACACTAACATACATATATGAGTGTATATAAGTGTGTGTGTGTTTGTATGTGTATTTGTATGTGTATGTGTCTGTATGTGTGTGTATATGTGTGTGTGTGTGTGTTTGTATGTGTGTGAGTGTGTGTGTTTGTATGTGTATTTGTATGTGTATGTGTCTGTATGTGTCTGTATATGTGTGTGTGTGTATATGTGTGTGTGTGTGTGTTTGTATGTGTGTGAGTGTGTGTGTGTGTGTGTGTGTGTGTGTGTGTGTGTGTGTGTGTGTGTGTGTGTGTGTGTGTGTGTGTGTGTGTGTGTGTGTGCGTGCGTTTACGCGTGTATGTCTGTGTCTGTGCGTATGATCTTCAATGAATTTCCAATTTCGTTCATTCATTCAAGCATCATCTAAAAACTCATCTTACACGCTGACATATCACGTGACTTTACTTGCAAATTAAAAAAAAAAAAAAAATAGATAAAAAAAGCATGCATTGTTCATAGCGTGCCTGTTCTAATAGCTCCTGACCGAGCGGACAAAAAAAGGCAAACAAAAAAAAAACAAAAAAATGTGAGCTGACGTTGAGCGAAATGGGAGTACTGGTTACAGCTAGTTACAGGTGTAAAGGTTGTTAAATGGCTAAGGACCCTTCTCTCTCTCTCTCTATCTCTTCTCCTCTTATTCTCTTCTCTTCTCTTCTCTTCTTACTCTCTCTCTCTCTCTCTCTCTCTCTCTCTCTCTCTCTCTCTCTCTCTCTTCTCTTCTCTCTCTCTTCTCTCTCTCTCTCTCTCTCTCTCTCTCTCTATCTCTCTCTTCTTATTCTCTCTTCTCTTCTCTTCTCTCTCTCTCTCTCTCTCTCTCTCTCTCTCTCTCTCTCTCTCTCTCTCTCTCTCTCTCTCTCTCTCTCTCTCTCTCTCTCTCTCTCTCTCTTCTATTCTCTTCTCTTCTTATTCTCTCTCTTCTCTTCTCATCTCTTCTCTTCTCTTCTCTTCTCTTCTCTTCTCTCTCTCTCTCTCTCTCTTCTATTTTCTTCTATTCTCATCTCTCTTTCATTTTTATTCTTATTCTTTCTCTTAATTTTCCTGCTTTCTACGTCTTATTCAACGTTTTATTCAACCCTCTCGGTTCGAGGCTCGAGATGCGACGAGTGGCCGCCGGCGATACAAAATCTTGTTGATACCTAATCTATCTACTAACACCTTCCTATTTGTTTAGATCGTTATACATAATATATGTGTGTGTGTGTGTGTGTGTGTGTGTGTGTGTGTGTGTGTGTGTGTGTGTGTGTGTGTGTGTGTGTGTGTGTGTGTGTGTGTGTGTGTGTGTGCGTGCGTGTGTGTGTATTTTTAAGCAACAGGAATGTAGCAGAGCTATAACCATCTTCTCCTATATCCATTTCTCAGCCGGAGGAGCACTCTTATGAGCACGACTTCTGACGAGTCTCGCCGCCACGTCCCGCTTCTGCCTCGATTGTTTCATACTTTTAACGCCGGCCTTTTCCCTCCTCCCGCAGGAAGCGCTGACGCCGTTCGACCGCCAGTCCTCGTGCGCGGGATCCCCCAGCAGCGCCCTGCCCTCCAGCACGACCGGCTTCGACGACCCGGAGGACCTCTCTCCCTCCGACGGCGCAGGAGGCGCCCGGAAGCGCGCCCCTCGCGCCCTCACCGGCAAGCACGTCCGGCCGGGCACTGGGGCGTCGGCTACCACCCTCCTCACCCTCCGGCAGAAGCTGGAGGAGCGGCAGAAGTTCCGCGAGGTGCACGGCGCCGCCCCGACGCCCCAGCCGCAGCCCAGGAGCAAGGCGCGCCCCAAGAAGAAGTGAGGCGGCGACGCGGAGGCGCTGTTGCCGCGGCAGATGTTGGGCGCGACCTTGCGGGCCGGGGAGGCTCCGAGGGGCGTGTCGGTGCTCAAGGTTTTTTGCCAAAGACGACGAGGGAAGCGCGCGGGAGACATTGGCCGTGATTATGGACGCAGATAAGTGGAAGGGAAAGAGGAATTCATGGCGTGGACAGCGGGGAGGCCGAGGCTGGTTGTTTCTTACTGGGAAAAATACTATCGGAAAAATAGATATACCTTTAAGTTACCTTTCACTATGCAAGAGCTTGTGACGAAAAATGAGACAGTGCGGATACTGCAAATGCCTTCAGTTCTTGTCAAGTTAGGTCACCTGTGAGCATCCCTAACCTTTCCCTGATCAGGCCTGGAATGCATACTTGACTGTAACTTGCAAGACAATACCCAACGAATGGTGACTCAGCAGTGTTATTTCAGTCAACACCGAGGGATAATATCACAGTGATACAAAAATAGTGGACTTTTAAGACCAAAGAGGAAGAAAATGTTACATCATCCTACATCGAATAGCAAAAGATGACATAACGATTAATTGGATAAGAAGCGATATAAGAAAGATATTCTTATGGCGATTCAAGAAGGAAGAGGTTGCCAGATCGTAATTAATGATCCGATTAAAAACGTATACTGCAACTTCGAATACTTCTGTTCTCGAAATATCTTTATTGTAGTATTTAAAAAAAAAAGTATTTCTGTGTAAAAGAGATGGAATTTTCACACGACTAACTCCTTGGTTTTAGAAAGACTGATGTGGATTCGGTGCTTTGGTGTTGAGAAAATTGCATTGCTAAATAAAAACTAATTTGGAAATCATATAAAGGTTTCTTGCACTAAAAAAACGAGGCTACAGCAAAACATATCATTTAGATTTAAGTATAATTTCCTTGGACTATAATGACTGAAAAAAAATTATAACGAGGGCTATTATTACATTCCAGAATTCATTGTCATTCCTAGTAGATTTATGAATATTTTTACCGACGTATTTTTACCCAAAAGAATGTGAAGATGAAATCAAAATTATGATAACCAGTGAGGAATATAAAAGAAGTATTTATCCTTCTCAGAATAGAAGGAGAAATAAAACAAGAAAGAGAAAATAGAAAGAAAAGAAAAGATTAATGGTCATTGGCAACCGAGCTAGGTGAGTGAAGACGACGAGCGTAAAGGTTTAACGATACGATTTTTTTCTCTCCCATATATATTACATTTCCCTTTGAAATTCTTTGTGTTGTTTTCCACCTTGAAATAATCATGTCGGGCATTGTCTTGTGTTCTCTTGGCTTTAATTTTTATCCAATGTTTTGTAAATACCAGTGTCGCTCAGATTTAGGTTTAGACATGTATCCCCTTTGTAAATATTTCATGTATGACTCATGTATAACAAATTACTGAATTATCTTTCATGCATCGTTTGGAATGCTACTATGCTTCCATTTTTATGCAATAATAATGACCATAAGGGTAATGATGATGTTGATATTGATAATTCAGATCTCTCAACTAAGCAGAAAATTGCTGTGTCATCAAACATTTTTTTTTTTTTTA